TGGGCGGTGCGGTCGAGCCGCGGCGGGCGCGTGCCGAGGGCGGCGGCGGCGCCTCCCAGGCCTGCGTGCGGGGGGCGTGTGCGCGCGGGCAGGTGCGGCCCGCGGCGCGGCCCGAGGGGGCGGGGGCGGGGGCGGGGCGCCGGCGGGAGGCTCGCTCCCCCTTGGTGGGCGGGGAGCCTCCTCCTCCAGTCTCCTTGGGAGAGGTTTAACTCTGTGAAGACTGGCGTCCTCCTGGTGGCCGCGACGCCTCCTTGGCCCCAGGGCCCCGGACCAAGACGGTGATAGTCAGGCCGCTTTGGTGCTGGGAAGGGGCCCTTCAGCAACCGCTTCTGACCCGCATTTCGCCCTCCCGCCTCACTTCTCCCTGGGAGTCCCAGATATCTGCCCTTGTTTAGAAGGAAGAGGTTGTTTTATCCTAGTTTCTGTGGCACTGGCCACTGAGCAGTTGTGACTGTTCCAGTTTTTCTGGGGTCGTTCATCACCTTATATTTTAGTTGGGCTTTGGAGATCTGCTGACTTGTAAAAATACCAGAAAAGAGGCTCTCATTGAAAATTCCTCCACATCCACAGTGGGAAAAATATAAATGGGCATGGATGAGAGAGCCACTTTAATTAGCATGTGTCATCAGCAATTCACTGTGCGTGGTTGGCTTGATTTCATTAGTTGCTCTCCCTGCCAGTGGTGGAGAACGCGTTTATTTTCTTTTGAAACTTCTTGTGACACCTTTGCTGCCCATTGTCCTTGGAATAGACTTCATAAATGTGAACTTGTTGATAATCAGTTGATAGGAAGGGAGCATAATAGGCACTTTGCTTCCACCAACCCGGTGATCTGCATATAATTACTGTATATTCATTTTAGAAATAAAGAAGTAGTGGCTCAAAGAGTTAATTGAAATTCTTAAGAAGCCACACAGAGTAACTGGCTAATTCAGAACTGAACCCCAGAACTGACTCACTCCAGAATCATTCACCCCCCACTCTTCCCAATACACCTTCCTGCCCCAATGGAAAAGTAAAATAGGCAGATAATAATTACTGCAAACATTTGAAAAGCAGCTACTACATACAAGACACTGTGCTATGTGCTTTCCATATTTTTATCTCAACCTTCACAAAAATCCCAAGAGATGGGATTTTTTTTTTTTCATTTTATCCCTTAAATGAAACAGATGAACCCAAGATCATGCAGTTGGAAAGTAAAACAGCCAAGACTCAAATCCAGGTCTGCCTGCTATAGGTCAAGATCTTAAGTAACTAACAGGCAAACTCAAAAGATATTAAAAGATAAATAACAAAAATTATTTAAAATTTTTTATGGAATTTAGTGTTCTGAGATTTCATTTGAATGATCAGAAATATTAGTTAAATCATGACAACTCATTGGAAGCTTTCTGAAGGATGTAAATTTTTGAGCTAGTGTGTGGTTTTACTTTGGTTTCTTGTTTTAGAATCTGTTTTGATGATAAGGTGATATATGATCCCTGGCATAATAGGACTAGCAAAACAGTTAAATAAACAAGCCGTAAGGATCCATCAGATTCATTTTGAACAAGGCATAGGGAAATCCTTCTTCGCCTTTCCTAATGTTGCCACCTAAGCAGAACATAACTTTCCTGGAATATACTGTTGGTATTCAATTGAGCAAAGAAAAGGGGGAAAAAATCACCAACATTTTCCACAAGCAACATTTAATCATGGATGAATTAGTGATTGGAGGCTCCTGAGTCATCATTATCAAAATCATGCAACCTCTGAGGAGAGAACCTTAGTAATGATTTACTCAAAGGATTCTAGGCACTCTACTGACGTATGATGCTCAAAGGCAATTTTTGAACTCTACACTTTTTTTGTTGCTGTTTTTAGTTACCTTTTAGCTTCTTTATGAAAAGAACAAAGGTTTTGGCTGCATGGGAACTAACAAGCAAATTAAAAGTGAAAGCATTCTTCCAAAAATCCGAAGAGGATCAACAAATATCCAGATTTTTAAAATGTCCATATTTACTCAAGATGTTTTTAATCTGTGAATGGCAGAAAGAGTCAGAAAATCTTGGGAACTAATTAGACAATCTAGATATCATTCGGCACAAAAGATAAATTAAGTTTTATATCTGATCTCCACTGGTATTGCCAGTCCCAATATTCTGTGCCTATAAAGAAATATGTAATATTTGTGTAATATGTAAGTGTGTAACATCTAGATTCTTCACTTTGTCTCATTGAATTCTGACAATAGGGCTTAAGGTAGATATAATTTTTGCAGAAACTTAATTCCTTATTTTAGTTGTATTTTTATCACTTATTTTAAATTCTGATGTACACAAAAATAATTCTCAGTATGTTTTCACAAATTGAGAATTGTTGCTCATATATATATATTATATTACAAGTAACTCAAGGGGGGTTGATTAATAAAAGAAACGACTATTTTTTTTCTTCTCACTAGAAATGAGAAGTAAGGCAAAGATAAAGCAAGCATGGAAGTATTTGCAAAATAAATAAATAAATAAGACATTTAGAAAGATAAAAGTCATTTAAGGAACATGAATCCAAATCGATTTCAGAACTATATACCAAGATCTGTTTGTAGTAAGGAAAAGGAAAAGATGATGTCTTGTAATGTGAAGTTATTAACTAAGCTAAGATAGAATAGCCCTGCAATTTTAGTGGAGTTAGAAAATACCTACTTTCCACCTCTCAGGCCCTGAAGTCACTGGGGCTCATGGGCTGTGATGGAAGTGAAAAATTCCTAGTTATTGAACATGAATATACTAGACACCTGGATAGGAGACCAGGTCGTTGCCTCCTGTGTTGATTGCAAGCATTTCTGTTCTTCCCCTCATGGCCACGTGGCACAAAATCTATCCCTTATCATCTTCTTAAGGAAACCCAAACACCAAACATATCACAATGTTTGCAATTTTTCTGAATACTTAAGGATCACAAGTGTTGAGGACCATGAGTGCCAATCACCTATCCTCTTCAACTTCTAACCAACTGAAAACAAATGTAAGAAACCAAATGAGTATCTCATTCATGTACCATCTTTATTATCAAGTCAGGATAAGTGTTTAGTATCCCACAAAGTGCATCAATCACTACTAAAACTAGACCAAGAAGAAGACTAGGACCACCCTCCCTATAAATATATACTGTTGGGTCAGCAGGCTTCCCTTCCCCCTCCCCTTTCATGGTGGCTGTGGGCAAGGACTTTCCACCTGGCTGAGGAGACAGGAAATGGCCAATCAGAAGCTGACCAGGCAAGGGACCCCAACCACCACTGGTTCCCACTGGCTGAAGCAAACGCCCCATCAACTCACATCAGCCTTGACCAACCGGCCCCTCACCCTTTCGTGGACCAGTGAACCTCGCCTCGGAGCGCCCTCCAATAAACCTTCTTTGGGTGCCCCATTCTTGTTCCGTGGTTTCTGATCTTGCACACCCTTTCTTCATTACAAATACCTTGGGACCTACCTTTGGAGAAAGTTATATCTGCAAATCTGACTTTACATACCTAGCCAGACTAAAGGCTGTCTTATAAATGAGGTCTGACATGACCAATGAAACTCTACAACATATACAACCACAAGAATGGGATCCTAATTAGAATAAGTTATACTCAATGTATGTTGTAATATGTCAAAATACACTCTACTGTCATGTATATCTAAAAAGAACAAATAAAAAATTTAAAAATAAATGGAGTCTGAGCCATTTTGAAAAGCAGACTGAAAAGGTCTTGATCCCAGAATGTGGTAGGAAGCAGAAAAAAGCCCGTTGCCTTTTTTAGGGATTCAGGAGACAGGTGAGGCAAGAGGGAAAAAAAAGCTAGAGTTGAGCCTGAATCTTGTTTTGAAAGCAAGGAATTCCCACCCACTGGTAAAGTGGTCCCAGTGGAAATGATTAGGGAAAGAGACCAGAAGTGTTCACTATTCTCTTGGAACATTTCCTCTCCTCTAGGGAAAGTTAGAGAGGGGGAATAGTTTCCCCCAGGATCTCACACCACACAACATTCCATCACCATCCTGCTGATTTTGTCATTACCTCCCTCCTCTCTCAGGACCAACCTGCTAATGTGCTACTGAAAGCCTGTGTGCCCCAGGGTGACCCCACAAACAGCACACTGAAAAATGTAGTCTTACCTCCAAACTACTTTCTCACTAGGAGAAGCTCCCTAAAAATTCAATACATTTACACCATCTCTTTGAGAGGAGGAAAACACCTAGTATTCTGACAAACCTTTATACACTCAGAAGGTCTGATAAGATGACTTAAAAGTTCATTATCTAGTTTTATCATCTTAACTCAAGATGCCAAAGACAGATCAATGATTAATCCCAATCTACCCTCTACCATTCTATACTTCTGTCCTTCTGCTAAGGAAGGGTCTGCAAACTTTCTGTAAAA